ACCAGTACCATTTTCATTGCCACCACCATTGTTATCGTTGTCGCTACAACCGGCACCATCAATTATTACTGTTATTAATTTTATCATATTATATAATATTTGTAATATAAAAAAATAAAAATATCAAAACACATATAATATTTTATCATTTGTCATTCTTTTATTATAATTTCAAAGTTACAAATTCCAATTCATTTAAGAGAGTTCTCACAACCAAACACAAGTCTAGCTTGATTAAATTCCATTTTAATTCTTGTTTATCAATTCAAATTCCAACAGATTACATTTATATTATAAGTGAACCAAAAATCACCTTCAATTTCGAAATTGAAGTTGCTTGAATACAATACATCATGATTCAAGATAAGATTTCATATGATGTATTTCAACAAAGCAGGCAAATTAATATATTGAAACAGAACGAAGGAGATACAAAAAAAATGGGAGAATTTGCTTTTTTTTTATTAATCTGGATTTTCAACTCGTTATGCGATGATTTCGAGCTATCCACGAAACAGATGGCCACTCTATAATTAATCGGTTCGTATAACAGGTTGAATATTCAGGTTAATAAAAAAAATTGTTTTGGTTGCGACCGTGGTGGTTGGTGATGGATGGATGATGGTGGTATCGGAGGGTGGGAAGTGAAGTTATGGATGACGTGTCCACCCACACGACACGTTATGGCACACATGAAGCACGTGCATTAACATAAACCCACATGCTGTTGGAGGTGCATTGTATTGCAGAAAAGGTCAAAAACATCCCGTTTAGGGAATTTGTTTTTTTTATTTACATTATAATAATTATTTTTAGAGTAAATTATATTTTTCGTCCCTATGATTTATTGAAAATTTCGAATTTTGTTCTTATGGTTTAGAAATTACGGTTTTCGTTTTTATGGTTTATAATTTTTTGTTATTTTAGGTTTAAACTAATTCTTACATTTTTAAGTATAAGGAACCAAAATAATAAAGAATTATGAACAACAAGGACTGAATCAATAATAAATTGTAAATTGTAAGGACAAAAATATCAATTGTTTACATACTATAAGGATGAAAATCACATTTTCTAAATCATAAGAACAAAAATTACAATTTTAATAAACCATAAGGACTAAAAACGTAATTTACTCTTATATTTTTACCGTATCCTTTTTTGAAATATAATCAAAACATATTGCATGATTATAAATAGGGATAAAAAAGAGTCGTGTCGATTAGTTGTTAGATTATTAGAGTTCAATTAAAAAACTTAATGTTAGGCTCGAGTTTGAATAATTTTTTTTGAAGTAGGAGTTAAGTTTGTGAGCTCGAATATTTTTTGAATTATCGAGTTTGATACTTGTTTATGAGTTTGAACACATGGTCAATTTGAGCTCGATAATTTTTATATTTTTATTTTACGATCAGTGATCGTATGAGCATAGTTGGCTCAAAAGAGTATATGCTCGAACGGCTGGACTTGAAAATTTTAATCAAGTTTTTGAACGATCCAAGTCGATTATTGGTGTTATAAAACTCCACTTATTAAGTTAAACGAGTTTTATTTTATGTTTAAGATCGACTCAAACTTGAGAATTATTAAGTTCGATATTAAGCTTGAATTCGAATATTTCATTAAAAGCTAATTGTTTATGTCTCTAATTAGGGCATCTCCAATGGGGGGCCATGGAGAGTGTAATGGGAACCATGACACCCCTCATGCATTGTGAAGGGTGTCATGGAGAGTGTAATGGAAGGGGAGTTCAATGGGGATGACACACATCATGGAGGAAAATGGGACCCTTTATTTTTATTTTTTTTAATAATTAAATTTGTAAGGATTTAATTATGATATTATATATATATATATATATATATATATATACACACACTATAATATGATATTTATTAATCGATAAATTAATTTTTATTTTTATTTTTCTTAATTTATAAAAACAACATAATTAATAAAACATTTCATTAATTTCAAAATACATTACATTAATAAGATGTTACATTAATTTTAAAATACATTACATAAACTACATTTATTTTTAATTTCATGCTTGTGAATAATGTTCCCAAATATGCTCCGTTAAATCATGTCGAAGTGAGTGATGCACCGATGAATCACGTAGTTCAGAGTTCATCTGAATCTGATATTGAATTTCTGCGGTAGGTCCTCGCTGCACACGTATTGGAGGATCAACATCATCATACCAATTAGAGATTGCACTTCTTTCATCCTCTACAGTCATATTATGTAATATGATGTATTTTAGTCTCGTACTTTTTATTAAATGTATTTTAATTTCGTTTCATTTTTATTTTAATGTATTATTCCTTGTTTTTAGTAGATTTTTAAATTTGTTGGTAAAATTATATTTATAGATTATATATATATATATATATATGATGTGGAAATCCATTAAACTCATTGGAGTGTTATGGAGTGTGGGTATAAAATGATAGAGTTGTATGGTGAGTGGAATGCTGATGTGGCAGTCCATGACACTCTGGTAGAGTGTCATGCACTGGATATGCCCTTATGATTTATGAACACCATTTAAAATGTCAAGAGTCGTTTTATTTCCTTTTGTTTGAATTAAATTAACTGTTAAAATAAATTATTGTTTATGTTTTTTACGGAATAAACAATTTGATCTTAAAAATACATTGTTATATTTGTTTCTTTTAAACAAAAATTATAAAATCAAGACTAAACTATCAAGTTTAATAAATCTAAATAAATTGAAAAAACAATAATATAATAGTTGAATCACATACACAAAATTAAAGGTAAGTTTTGACCAAAATAAAAACCAATGTTTATTTTAATATATCAGTTATTAACAACATTTCTAATATAATCTCAAAATGAAGAATTATAGGAAAACTAATCATATCATATCGCCAGTTACAAGAAAGATTATAGTGAAACCTGATGAGGACATCTATAATTTAATTGAAGGAGTTTGTAATAATCTGTCCCATATGGATACATGAGTAGATTTTGCAAATAATAATCAAATCCGGACGGTTTGCACTCTAATTAAAAATACCAAATCCCAAAAACACCACAAATCTCACACGTACAAACATTGCTAAAAATGTAAAGATATAAAAGACTTGACACCGATTTACCGTGGTTCACTCAATCTTTACTATGAGACACCTCTTAAGGTTCATTATTGTTTTACTTTAATTGATAAAACAGAACCGTATAGATTGATCTTACAATAAAGATATAAAACACCCAACCTTTTGTAAAATAAATAACACTCACAAATTTGCATGGTTTACCATTTAAGTGTAAATAAAATACAAAAATAGCTCTTGAGGTTGACCCGAAAAGCAAGTATGAATTGTCATGTCTTTTCCGAAATTAAAAAGAACCATCAACAAGGTATCAATTTCGTTGCCAAAAATCGTCCAACGACCGTTATCTTGTGTCGTTAAGTTCCCTCACGTATGTTGGTCATTTTACTTGCAAAATATTTATCCTTTTTCTTTTATTTTTTTATGTTTATGTTTTAAAACTTGTGTCCAAGTGATTAAAGCATCTCTATAGAAAAAACTAAACGAAAATTCATCATCAAAATTCAAGAACATTATGAACAATGTGAACGACAATTTGCTTATTCCAAAAATTCATTTACAAAACCTTAAATCAAAAACATCAAACCCTTTAAAGTTAAAACCCTAAAATTGAAACCTAAATCAAAACCAAGATGGCAACATTGTAAGGAGAGAGCATCACTATCACCGTTGAAACAACACCAAAACCACTGAATCAATGAAGAACAATAGCAATGCACCACCACCACTAAGTCATTGAAGAACACATGCACTCGACTCACTTCAGAACAATCCTTCAGAACAACCCTGCCATCCTTTGCAACGTTGGTGTTGGAAGATCAATGAGATGGAGATGATGATGTTGATCTTCATCTCACCCTAAATTGATGACAAGTAAATTGAGATAGAGAAATACATACAATATGAGGATGTTGAACTTGAAGGTTCGGAGAATAGACGAAATTGAAATGAACATGGAGAAACCGTTCGTGGTTTTCATTTTTGGAAGGTCTAGGGTTAATTTAGATTTTTAGTTGTGTTCTCGAGACTTGTTTTACGACGAAAAAGAAAGGGAAAGTGGGGGGAAAAGAAAACATCACACGTTGTCAGAATTTTTTAGAAAGAAATGGAAAGTAAACGGAAATAAAATAAATGGTGACTTTCTTCCCAAACGTGGGAGGAAAATGAAGGAAAGAAATTAATTATAACGATTAAAGTTATTAGTAAAATCAGTAAATTACATATCTATCCATCAATTATAAAAAGTAAGAAAATAAATAAATGTATATTTGAAAAAGAACATCTTTCATTTACTTTCTTTTATTATTAGGAACACGTAAATTTATTTTCTTTCTTTCCCTTCCTTCTTTTCCTAATAAAAACACACATAAAAAAATGTGTCATTTATTTTCCTTTGATCTCCTTTCTTTTATTTTCTTTCAAAAACACGACCTTAGATTATAAATACTTGTACGTTTGTTTAAATAACATGTACAACCGTTAGCCTCCGGAAACTAGCACATGAGGGCAATTAATGGCACAAGATGACCACCATTAGGGCCAACGACGATTTCTGCAACGAATTAAAACCTTGACGATGGACCTTGTAGTTTCTAAAAGGACGATATTCACTTTTTGGGTAAACCCCGAGGACGGTTTTTTTTAATTTTACTCAAATGTATACATATGATATAACAATTTTTAGTACGAGCGTGAAAATTACACCTTTACCCTTCAAACCAACCGGTGTGACAATTTTGATAAAGTATGAAGAAAAAAATACGCAAGAAACAACTTTCTGGATGGATGTTATTGTAAACTATTGAAAAGTCTGGGGGTGGATTTTGTAAATTATTCTGAATTCTTCTATAATAAAAAGCAAAGGATATTTAATGTGCAAATCGAATCCCTCCTCCTTCTCTCTCCATAATCAAAATGGAATTCTTCGAGAAAGCCGTTGCCGTAAGACTCAAAAGCAGTCTCGACAAATACCTCGTCGCCGGCGACGACCACGAGACAGTCCGGCAAAGCAGCAGCGCCTCCGCAACACGCGCCGCTGGGTGGCTGATCGAGCATGTTGAATCAAACGGTCACGTCATCCGTCTCAAAAGCTGTTACGGCCGTTACTTAACGGCCACCAATACGCCTCTCCTCTTCGGCATGACCGGCAACAAAGTCATCCAATCGGTGGCGGAAAACACCAAGGACTTATCGATCGAGTGGCAGCCGGTGAGGGACGGCTTTCAGTTTAAGCTGAAGTCGTCCGGAGGAACGTATTTGAGGGCAAACGGAGCGATGCCGCCATGGAGAAACACCGTGACGCATGACGGTAGTTTTACGAGTGCAACGAATAGTTGTATTCTGTGGGATGTTGAGGCTATAGATATACCGGATGATGAAGAGGATAATAATGATCGTAATTTATCCATCGTATCAAGTTATTCGTCGGCCTCCGGTGAACTTTCCGGCAGGGAGCTCGGATCGCCGATATCAGTCCACTCTTCCCGCTTCTCACCTCGGAGCCCTACCCTATCGATGATGAAGGTACTTTTCTTCTTTTTTTGCTTCTCCAATTAAATATTTGATTATTTCTTATCACAAAATAACGATTAACAAATTACTTAAAGTTGTATTTTTATTATAATTCAGCACTTTTTACTATTATATCGTATAATAATATTTTAACAAATATAATATTTAATGATGTATATTTTTAAAAATAACTAATTATTGTTTATCTATAAAGTTCAGATATTTTATTTAACGCTTAATTCGAATAATTGTTAGGTTATTGTTCAAATATGTGAAGTTTATTCATAATCAAAATAATAAATGAATCCTATGACTGATATTAATATAAAATGTCTTTTCATAAATATAATAAATATAAATAAATTTTATAATATATCTAGAAAAGAAAGTGTTTTAATTGAATTAAACATATATGGTATGTGTATGATATGTAGGTATTAATGGCAAAATCGGGAATTTTTTTAATATTTTCGAAAAACATGTTATACTTTTTTAATTATGTTTGTCGTAGAAGGTGTTGTAACTATTCTAACTTTTGTATTTTTTGTTTTATTATAAAGTATTTTTTTAAAGAAAACTAGTTTACTATAAAATATATGTAATTAATAAAAAGTTATTCATACATTTGAAATAATTATAATCAAAACAATCATAAGTCAATGTTATAAATATATATGTCCGTTTTAGTTGACTAATTGTATGGTTAAACTGTAGTATTTAAAGACAGTATGATTAAATCTAATCGATTCTTGATAAGACACATTATGTTTATAAAAATATTATTCACATTTAATGATTAAAAATGATTGTTTTTTAATATAATAATATATTTAGTAAAGAAAAAAACATTGAAACATAAAATCCCACTTGGAGTTTGGACCAAATGTGTGAATGGGAAGGGAAATTAAAGTAATGGACCTCCTAAGAAAGTGTGTATTGGCCACTAAGATGTCAAAATTCCAAGGGCAGGCAATGGTGGATGGTAAACATGGTCATCATACATCATCCATCATGTTAGTGGACATGTAAGATGCATGCACACCTCTACCAATGCTCCACTTGAAGTGAAGATATACCACCTTTTCCACACACCATTTTTTGATTATGTTTTCTCCTTTTGAGGGTGGACATGTCATTTCACTATTATTTAGATGATCAAATCTTTAGTCTACTTTAGCTTAAAGTTTGAGGGGTTTTTTATATGGGTTAAATTAAATATTGTTCTAGTTTCATTCTAACGTATGATACAAGATTTGGAGTAAATTAAATTACTTAACGAACGATAGCATTTGATTAAATTAATCATACGGTAAAACTAAGTTGTTAGGGGTTATACATTAGTTTATTTGATCATAAAATTGATAGAATAAATGATATTTGTATTCATTTGGATTCTTTGGTATCTGTGGACATGGTTTAATCATCCAAAACTAAAAAATTCGGTGACAATGAGAATCTGATTCATTATCATCTTTACTAGTGCTAAGCGATGGACCAAATTTTTGACCCTCCTCCCACTCAAAAGAATTACGATACAAAAATCTGAAACATGTGAGATATTATATTACCAATCAAATGAAATGGGGTTAATTTTTCTGTTGATCAACTCTTTGAACAATTAAATTTGTTTGTTACAAGCTAACTGTTACTATTGTAAGGCTTGATTCAAATGAGAACTATAGATATTTCAAGTACTAAGAAACCATCTATTAATTTCTTTTATTGTTCATGAAGAATAATGAATATTCATCATGAATACTACATGAAATAGATAGTTACCCGGTTATTAAAATATTTATGGTTTTCATTTGAACAGTTGAACATATCTCTTGTATTGTATTATGAAAGAAATATGTTAACAATCACAAGAAAGTACAAGTTTGAATAAATTATCAACATACCAATATAAAAAAAAACTATCATATTTTTTACTCTCTTTTTTCTTTCTCCAATTCATTCTTGAAAAGTAAAAAAAAAAATGTGATTTATTTGCAACGATGTACAATATTTCCAAAGTAAAAGTGGTTTACTAAACTGTTGGGAGTGTATTTATCAAGTTAAAGATGTTGAAGGGTATAGAATGGAATATATCAATAGTTGAGGGACAGTTCTGCAATTTGAAAAAGCTGTGGGGCTTTACATGTACGGAACCTCTTGAGGGTGGTATGGTTCATGTAGCACCTACATATATTCCCTCACACGGTCTCTCGATTTCCATGTGTGAATCTTATCGGAAATTGTGACCAAAAGTTTATGATTTTTGTATAATCTTTGCTTGAAAGAAAGAAAATAGTGTAAACTAGTTTATCCAAAATAATATCTTTAGTTTTTATAATTTTGAAATTATAATCAGATTATATTAAAAAAATATTATCAACTTAAAATCTGATAAGTTTACAGATCTTAAATATGTTTTAATTAAATTCATAACTATATAACATAAAATGGGTTTATATTTATGGGAAGATAATAAATTTAATTAAAATCTTATTTAAGGTTTATATATCTAAAAATCTTCATAGAAAGTAAATTTAATTAATAATATATGTAAAATAGAAATTAATAAATAGATAGACATTTAGCCATTAATGTCGATATAACCTATCCCATATGCAGAACATATATTATTGCTTGATTTAAATACATATTTATTAATTGTTTTCTATTTCCATTTAATCATTCTTTCTATGTTTGGTTATATAGTTCTTTTGGAACTCCAAGTCTCGAATAAATTCCATTGGTGTGCCACGATCTTTCCAATTAGAGGTCCGTTCCATTTCGTCGTTTATTATGATATACCTTTAAATCACAAAAAATATAAAATTTAGACTATTTATTAAAAAAACACGTTATTTTTGTTGGTCGTTAAACCGCAAACCGGACACGTCATCATCTCCGTTTTTAATACCGATCTGAAAATGGGTGAAGATTTTTTCATGACACTACAATTTCATCACTTATAATTTCTGGGTTTTTGGATCTTTTCGCAGAAACTTCCACTTTTCCGGTTGAAGTTCTCGATGAAGTTGATCAAACCAAGGCGTCTGGTAGAAGAATCAGGACCACCGGTGGTGGAACTCCTCCGCAACACCAAGACGGTCCGGCTAAGGAGCCGCCACGGCAAGTTTCTCCATGCCGATTACGACCAAGAGTCTGTTTCCCAAGACCGTCATGGCACCACCAAGAATAACTACTGGAGCATCGAGTTTGTCGAAAATACTCCCGACAATGTCACCATCATTCGCCTGAAATCGTGCTACGGTAAGTACTTGACGGCATCCAACCACCCTTTCTTGCTCGGATTGACCGGAAAGAAGGTGCTACAAACGGTGCCGAGCCGGCTTGACTCGTCGGTGGAGTGGGAACCTCTGGGGAGAGGGAAACAGGTGAAGCTGAAGACGAGGTATGGACACTATTTGAGGGCTAATGGCGGACTTCCGCCGTGGAGGAATTCAGTTACACACGACATTCCTCACCGAACCGCCACCCAGGATTGGATCATGTGGCAAATCGATATCACGGTCCAGTCGCCGCCGGCACCAAGACTGCCGCTGCAGTTGGTTCCTTATGCAGATTCTTTTACTTCCTCTGAACCCGGTTCGCCCTCCACTAATTGGTCAAAGTCCCCTACTTTCTCCAATCAAGAGGTATAATTGAACTTTTTTTTTTAAACAATCTTCTTAATTATCTGAAATTTTGATGACTCTGTTCAATTCTGTAGACTCAAGTTTTGAAATGTTTTAGGTGTAATTTTTTTTTTTATTAACCTGGATATCCAATCCGCTATGCAATCTTACTAATCTCAGACCCACCACCTGTTTAGGTTTAGGTGTCTAATTTGAAAAAGGGTTTTTGTAAATCTTACCCTCATGCTATACCTGAATGAGATATACTGGATTTATATTTGATTTGACTGTTTGTTATTTTTTTTTTGGTTGGTTTTCAGTCGATTGACTCACCGCTGAAGAGGGAAGAAGGTCGAGCAATATATTACCATGTGGTCTCAGATGACTTTGAGGACAGCGACGAAGATGAGCACGGGTTTTGCATTAGTTTCAAAGGGAACCGAGTTAATGAGTTGACTCGAAAGTTAGAGGAAGAAACTCGACTACACAACATAACTGTCTGTTCTCCAAGTCCACTGGATGGGAAGCTTTACCCGCTCCAATTGGAGCTTCCTCCCAACAACTTCACCATGAAAGTTGTCGTCGTTCCAAATTCCTCCCAAGGTGAGAGACAATTACGCATCAAGGGTTAGTTGACAAACGTTGAATAAAGTTTTGTTACTGAAGGATACTAAAGAACCAGTTAAGTTAACGAGTGAGTATAATAAATCAATCAAATTTGTTATAGATGTCATGTCAAAACTGTCTGACATTTTAATTACAACAAATTTGATTGGGTTGTTGAATTTCCTCGAAGGGGAAAATCGTACTAGTATGTTGTATAGAGTTCTCAAGAAGAGGATTTTCAAGGTCTTTATCTTACAATAATGTTATTAACAGTCGAGTTGAGTCGAGCTAGGGTTGATCAAGTAACTTAGAATTACTCAGGTAAACCTAGGGTTTCTAAGTTGCAATCTCGCATTTAGGAATGATCCGTTAATCATTGGGATGCGACAACTGAAACAAATATCGCCACTCAATGTTAGGTTTTTAAGAAAAGAGGACGGTACTACCTCCGACAAATTTAGTGTTTAGTTTTCCTTTCAAGTGTCATATGGAATAAGTGGCTTATTATAGGTACTTGTGCAAGCGTCCCGGTGTTTGTAGCTATCTATACAAGGGCTTATTGTAACCAGTGACTTTATGAACACTTGATGTTGCAAGTTATTATGTTATGAGATCTCTGCTTTTCTAGCTATCTATTTTGTTATGATGCACATGTATCATGAATGTTTAAGTTGATTTTACAAAATTTGGATGAAAGTTAATTCTTCAACGAGTAGAGAAATAAGATAAGACTGCAAATCAAAGCCTAATTCTTTTTTAAACTAATCGCTTGTTATAATGATATGATTAACCATGTTCACATATGAATATGTCATTTCGAGATCTAGCCACCTCAATGCTTAGAAAGTAGTACTCCGACATTCCGTTTAAAAATTGTCTTACAACTAGACATGTGGCATATACATCATAAATGTGCAATTCATGATAAATAAAAATCATATTCACCATGAATGTGTTATATACTGAATGACACATGACGCGTCATGGGCAGTTCCCGGTTCTTAATCAAATTTGGGTTCTTAACATAACTTTCCTCGACTCTCTTATTATGTTCCTTTTGAAATGAAAAGAAAAATATAGAGTAGTCATATTCATCCCGAGTCATGTCATATTTCGCTAATGCTTAAGAAAATCAAAAGAACTGCACATGCATCAAGGAAATCTTTTTGAATGGATGGTCGAAAGCATACTGCAAGTACAACAGGACTAAGGGGTTGTTTACCCAATTTTTTTATTAAGTCTTGTATGGATAAATTTGTCTATCTGGATAAATGGGTGGTATTGTTTATTTTTCTTATTTGAACCAACAGTCTGAATAACATAAATGACCGATTTACCCCCCAATATTAATTATTTGAACATCAAAACAAAAAATCATAAAGAGGTTGACGATGGTATGTCTCATTTGAAAAAGAGGCGATGCTTTAAATAAAAGGCAGAGGTGTCCTTTTTGTGGCTGAATGGAGACAACACACCATTTCTATCTGTGCGATTAAGTCATATTCTATACGAATAAGTCGTAAGTAAACAAGCCAAATAAATTGTGCGAATAGGCCAGATAGATCAATAAGCCTAATTAAGCCACAAGTAAACAGTCCCTAAATGCCTCATCAAAATCTTCCTTAGAGTAACCTTTACCAATGAGACCAGTAACAGGGTCATCCAGTAGCCTTGTTTCAAACCTTCAAAATGGTTATAAAGTAATATCTGAATTTGGCAAGAAACTAACAATTGCCATTTCTTTTTCTTTTTCTTGTTTTTCATAATAACAACAATAACTGCTTTAACAAGTAGGTTATGTTTCTTTATTTTCTCAACTCACCCCAGAAGTAGAAATAGAAATGGGGTTGTGAGTTTTCAACTACACATCTCTAACCAACCTAACTGCAAGATATGCAGGCTCTGGGGATGCACCTCGTGTGTGTCGTTATTGCCATCAAAACTCGACTTCTTGAGGTAGTCTGGCTCGTCCTGAATACACATACTGCATCTCCTCCGTCCATGTCTGCAAAACCAACCAACATCCCAAATTATCATTACAATTTACAACAACTACTACTCTCAAATTTTAATCATGAAAAATCTCATACCTGATGACGGAAGGAAATCCTCATTCGGGGTACATTTGTCTTTTGTATATCATTTCCTTCAGGTCCTCTCTTGAAATATTTCCCACCAAGCCAATGTTCCTGCAATTACCCACAACACCTAAATTTCTTTCCGAAATTTTATCTATCATTCAACAAAACACTTTACACTTGCTCATCAATGCTCAAAACACAATGAAAATATTATAACATACTTGAAACTTGACATTTTAAAGACTTGTTTTGTATATTATTCGCACCTTAATTTTACTTCTTTTCTTTACCGTTTGCCAAATCTAGTGTTCCTCCTGCTTTATTGGTTTGTTGTTTGGTTGCACCCACTTTGCTGTTATATTACCATACTTGTCCCCTATTATCTTTTGTTCTACACACATCCTACCCCTACCTCTGTTTGGGTGTTGGATATATAATGGGGTTCATTTGGTTTCTTTTGGATTTCCTTCTCTAGAATGAAAGAGTATATATAATTCATATGTTGCTTGATTATAGTAATTACTGGTATCGATGTCATTAACAAAGTTTACATTGTCAATTTAAAATAAACACAGCCATTTAAGAAGAAATAAATTATAAAATGTTGGTAAACTTTGTGGCTAAAACAGTGCACCTTGGCTGCATGTGAGAATCCAGACTGGTAAACGGAGTTTCTTGCTATCTCACAAAGGTCACAGGAACTTAGCTTCCAAACCTGAAAGGCATGAATGATTATGTAAGGCAAACAACAGATAACAGAATAATACAACACAGAGGAGAGGAGGAATTAGACCTTGGCTGCAACACCGTATTCTTCCACCAGAGGTTCTTTTGTCAGATGAATTTGAAGTGGATCATCGGTGGAGAGTGAAACATTCAAGCCACGCTGGAAGAACATGGGAAATGGGTTGCGATGGTAGTCCAGGAAAAGGGAATTATTGCTCAGTGGAGACATAGCCAATCCGATCTGAAACGTTAAATTAATTATTAAATACTGAGACAAGATGGTATCAGCCCCCAAAGCTAGGTCCGTCATCCATTGACTAATCAAAGCAGAAACATAAAATTAATTACTCTGTCCAAATAAATGTCCACGGTGAAAAAGGAAAACAGTCTTAGAAATGTGTAAATACTACACTTTTTAATTAAATAAGAGCATCCGGTAAGCTTTTTGTTAAAGCTTTCTCCAAAATAGTGGGACCCACAAATTTTGGGTAGCCAAGTAAAACAAGCAAAAAAAATTGAAAGCTTGTCCTTACAACACAAAGGCCGCTTTTTCTGTCAAGGAGATTTTCCATAATCTTAGATGACAAAAAAGCTCCATCGTGAATGCTCTAACCAACAATTTTACCTTTAATAATAGAGGGAGTAATGAAGCTCTCCATCTTATAATCAAGGGTAGAATTGGAAGATCGGCGCTTACTTCTGAAAGTGGACATTTATTTGATACAATCTCGAGATAGAAAAAATGGACACTTATTTTGGGATGGTGGGAATATCGACTCCGTAGCTAATTTCATAATGATGCTTGCACAAAAACACAAATTATTTAGAAAGCAGCAGAAAAGGGAACCAAGTTGAAGGTTGATCAGTCTTATTAGCCTCCAAAGGTAGGTAGGCGAGTCACTGGCTAACCTGAGCAAGGTAGTACAAGTACTGCAATACAGGAGATTTCCGCAAATTGATCCCATGAGAAATATTATGGCATAGAAGGAAGCCAGCTGCTAAATGGTCGATATCACCTGCCTGCATGGATTGTAACATAAAATAAAGTCCAACCACCATGGAAAAAGCGATAAATTAAAGGTGAGAAATGGCAGTGGAAGTTGGTAACCTCTCCGCAATGAGGCCGCAGTCTAATTGTTGGCAGTCCTTTTGATTCACGGAGCTGAGAAGAACATAAGCTTAATTTAGTCAAATTCAAGTGGCTACAGTAGATGCCCAGATAAGAGAAATTCACCCATCCAACCCAAGGGAACTTTGAGGGTGGGAGTTTAAGGCTTCAAACCTCATAGAAGAAGGATGTTTGTGTCTACTCATCCGATCAAACAAATTTAAGAAGTAACAAAAAGTACTAACCTTGTTAAGGGTATAGAGGTTGGCATAGCAGTAATACGCGTAATACGAGTAAGCAGGATTGAAATCGTTTGTCCATTCAGCTGGTGTGGGCATGTGCTTTGTGGGGCGCCTTTCAGGCTTGCTTTCATCATCCACAAGATCAAGGCCGACCACCTATCATGGAAAAGAGAATCATGCCCAAAGGAAAACAGCAACTCATGTTCTAGAAATACCTTCCTGTAGAAGATTTCTCAACTTCTTCTAACTTTACAAAATATACTGCATAACGTATCAGCAATCAAAAATGAAATTATGCAGCAACTGTAGAAGTCCTTATAAATTTTGTGCTCAGCAACTCAAACACGGTCATATGTCTACTAGGAACTGATCTAGCGCGGTTTTTTTTCTGCCGTTTGGATTTTTAATCTAAAAAGAGTATTCAAAAGTAAACTGAGCTCATGCCATCAAAATTCAATTAAAAGACCTAGCAATCCAATCAGTATCTTACCATCTAACACTTTCGAGAATCTAATGCGAAGACTTGAAACGATGCAAATAAAGACAATGAATACTAAATCCGGAATGTATAGCAACTTATGAAGAACAATCTCTCTTCTCTGTAGAACCATAAAGAAGCAGAAGATTGTATGAATATGCATCATATAACACATCAAAATGGGTGTTGGAGACCTGTCAAACAGGGTTTCCTTATTCACTTAAAGCCTGGAATCTAACATTAGAGTTAGTACAGAATATTATATTTAAAAAATAGTATACTTTACCTGCATTAGGAAAATGTGCAGCTGAGGATGAGATTTCGGATCAACCGAGACTTCAAAAAGTGGAATGAACACATTGTCCAATATATTCTGAAAGGATGTAACTGTTCCCATGCTCTTGTAAATGTTATATAGTCGTGGAAGCTGAACAGCAACCCCCAAGAAAAAAATAACAAAACATGTAGATAAGTCAAGTGTGTTAAAAAGACCATACTCAAATGAAGCACAATGAGTTTCCTGAATGAAACTTGTCTTTCTAATGAGAGAAATTAAACAAAGCTCATAAGTAATTTCTCCTATCATCATGAAGCAGCAAAAGCGCTTAAAAGAAATTACATACAAGAACAGATATTTCCAAACATGCAGTTCCACCAAACACGACACAAGTTCATAAGCTAGAGCCTAAAAAGGTTCATCACCAAATACGACACAAGTTTCTTGCTATCTCACAGAGGGTTTAGGATCATTCTTACAGCATGATTTTACTACTTATTTATGAACTCTCAAAATTGTATATTTTTGCTTTTCGAAGACAACTCATGCTAACACAGTCACAATTCATCTTGCTCCACACATGTTAAAGCATAAAAAAAGACCAAAGCGTCCTAGAAGGTTGTCTGGGAAGCTGGAACCAAAAGATAAAGGGATGTGCTTAATTAACGTTTTCAGCTGTGCTGTGCACGTATAATCTGCTCCTACAACCTAATGAAGGTGCCATAAGCCTTGAGCCATCTCAAACTTAAAAGGATAAGAAACAATGATATTTACAAAATCACAATTAATTAAGTGAACAATATACATGTTTTCAACAAGGATTCAATTGAATAAGCAGAAATCAGGTTCATAAAGAGAATGGTAAATGCAGAAGGCTCTCTTACCAGAGAGGTCTCAGAATTGTCTAACAAATATAGGCTTACTCCATTTTCAAAGAAACCAACATGCTCATCACATTAGATTACAGAAGAGCAAGCATGAAATTGCTTCAAAGCCATGTTGTAGGTAAGGGGGTGTTTGGTTAGAGGTATTAAGCAGTAATTATTGGGAATGAAAATAAAAGAAACTGTTTGGTTTTATATAATATAATAATTCTATTCCCCCAGAAGCCTAAATTTTCATTCCAGGTTAAACTGGGGGAATGAAAATTCATTCCCATTTTCATACCCTGTTCATCTTCATTCCTCTGTCAGAACCAAACGCCCCCTAAGTTCCAATGCTCACAAACAAACAAATCATTGCATACAGTACTATTCTTCACAGTTTGAACGAAGTTCCCAACACAACATTCTAAAAAACAAAAATACTAAGAATTTGAGGATGCATGTATTTTTACATACTTGAATAAGCCAAACAGCATTCTCACTGTAAATTGAATTGTTGATGAACCAACTCGCCAACTGATCCCATTCACTCTGCTTCCTTCCATATATGGACACCCTATACTCTGCCACCTGGAAGGAAAAAGGCATAATCTTAAACTCGCCCAAACTTCTCTAATACAAATTCATTGATGTACTTAAGTACAACATTGTCGTGTATGTGGAAAATATAGATGCTTCTTTGAGCAAACAATAGACTAGTATGAAATGCTAAAATAATAGCATCGTATAAACCATATGAAGCCTTCAATACACATCGATAAAACTGTTTCAGCATTTGGGTAACCACACCTGGTATTTACTTGCATCAAGATCTGATAAAACTTGCTTCGTCAATTCTCCCAGGAAACGACCTGAGATGATAAGGATAAGTATTTTTCTTACATGACAGATTTTGATACAAGAAATAAAGTGAAAGATCAATGACGATTGACGAATACGCTACAAGTTAAAGGAAAACAAATAAATAGGTCTTGAAGCAATAAGGAATACTACTAGTTACTAGTTAGGAAGCATCAACGTGATTCCACATTTCCACTATCAAGACTTTTAATAAATACACAAATACGGCAAAAATATTCTGGTAAGTTGCACAAAAATATAATACAGTTGGTTTAATAACTAACAGGAAAAGGGTTATCAGGTAGCATTGTCCTGATAGAATGCTTCAGAAATATTACCAACTCTTTACTAAGTTAAATCATGATTGTCAGAGAGCAAAAAATGTTTGCTTGACCTTTAAACTAATAAATGTATACTCTTTAAGACTTTTTCTTGAAAGTGCCGTTAAGCTTCAATCACTCCATTCAATTGTATTCAAACTTCAGTTATTAGAGCATGTCATTAGTCTATGCACCATACTAATCCATTTCAAGTTCCTTCAACAACTCAATGTCCATTCGAGACTGCTTGACTTTCACTGTTGCTCAACGTGTTCTGATGTAAGATGCTCAGATTAAAGTCACTAGAGAAGCCAATAAATAATCTCAATGATCGATATGATTAGAGAGAAAAAAATGGCCCATAAAAGTATACATCTGTCATTAGATATTTTGTATATAATGTCCATTTATATTAAGAGTGCGTACTTCATAATTTTGTTAAGAGAGGGAAAAGTATATTAGTATTTTTTACAACAAACAGACCTTGAATCAAATTGTCTTGTTTTAAAAAGATTTCTCTGAGTCTGCTCTGTCCACAAGGATTGTACTTGAGATTGAATTTGTCAAACCGGTGAAATGTACTCTTATCCGCATGCACATCCAATAAGTCAACATTAAGATCATACCTGAAATCAACTTCTAGTCATGAGATAAACACTTTATGAGGTAATGAAGATACACAGTTTACTACCAACCCGGTTAAGTCCAAGCTCTCAAAAACTTCTTTCAGTGTCAGATATTGTCCATCACGAAATATGACAACCTGCAAAAATCATGGAACCGCAACCACAGAACATAACTCGATAACTATGTCATTCACTACAAGCAAATAAATTTGTATCTCAAATTGATCCCCAATCAAGGACAAGTAAACGAGTGAAACAATTCGATAACTATGAAGAGCATACCTCATCAGGTTCTTTCCTTAACTTAGACTTAATGAAGCGCAGAAGGTGCTTCTGGTTCATGCAAGCAGAATGATGCACATGGGTGTCAACTTTTCTGATATTGTAGAAATCACGATGGGGTGCACTCTTTTGAGCCAGAAACTCGCTATCTGCGTTCACTAACAGATGAAGACGGAATTTCTGCATGGTATTCAATATAAGGACACAATGATAAATTTAAATGAATCAAACACAGGAACAAACTTCTAAAAGAAATATCAGAAAACATACCTCCTCGAGAAATCTTAGTCGATGATAACATGCAGATCGAACATTTCCAACAGAGATTATTTTGAGAATGTGATGCATGTCAGTGAAAAAAGTCGTCGCACTTGCAACAGGGAAGAGATCAACTGAATCTGAAATTTGAAAAAAAAATCATCTGTTTAAGTATCATATATGAAAAATTAAACCATGTAACTGAATCTACAAGTTAATGAACTTGTGCAATCTGGCATTAACCTGATTGATCAGGTTTGTTTGTTGGACTTACCATTTTCACTGGCATAAACATGTACAATACCATCTTCCATCCTGAAGTGGTGCTGCTTGCAATTTAGAGAAACGGCAACAAATCAAGCAGAAACGATAAAATAATAATGACTTGGTTGATTGCCTGGGAATTAGAAGAGCTAAAGACCAACTTACTTTAGTTGATTCAACAGGTACAAATCGAAATGGATCTCTTCTAATATCAGATAAACAAGAGTCTCCAGCATGTGTTTGCGTCCATGGAACATTTTTTTCCCTGAACACATATTTTTCCCGCAAGTCTAAGCATTCGCGTATCATTTTCCTTACCTCTTCCTCTTCAAGATTCAATGACTCTGGATACAGAAAAGATAGTTGAAGAAGTGGAAAGGGCACATAAATAGGTATGTAAACCATAGAATTTGACATGGGACATTGGGACCACACGAAAAGCTTTTTAGAGACCTACAAAAAAGTTGGATCCAAGTAACTAGCAAGAACAACTTTAAAATTATGACTTCGATCGAGGCTGGAGGATTAGTAAAGTACTGAAGTTGGATAACTAATAATAGACGCAGTCCCTTCTTAGTAAGGTAATACTTTGAAAAAAATAATAAGAAACTACAACATCTTTTAACAGAGGAGGTGCTGAAGTAAAGCTCTAGAAGAAGATAAAGAGAACAAATAACAATTCAATAAATCAGCTGGCGATTGGAAACACCAATCCAGCCGGCCATGGAGCGATACTAGTCTTAGACATTTTCAAAGCAATAAAGATCTTGATACCAAAAAAGCTTGAAGGAACAGAGGCAAGAATACTAGACTGGTGAAACCTTTAGGAAGGAGGCTGAGTACCTTTCATGACAGTTGTTTGTGGTAAAATGAAGTTGGGATCATTGACTGGGATGTTCTCTAAAGAGAGTTCCACCTTCTCACTGCCGTGTTCTACAGTTGAGTTATTTTCTTTTGCAATTTTCCCATTTGAATTAACTTGATTATTGTTTGCATTCTCAGCTTGTGACAGAACCATAGACATACTCTGAATATTCGAGTATATATCCTGAAATAAGATAAAGTGGTGGTTATATTGGTAAATGAGCTTCGTAATCAGATCTATATAAAATATTTGAAGCAAAATAAAATCAGGAAAACACAAAGGGAAAAACAAGATAATCATTATCGACTAATAAAGCAGCCAAAGGTGCCTCCAGTATGGCAGTATTTAAATAACAGCTAATGATCTGCCATGCCAGCCCCATAGAATATGGGCCAGCCTTATAGGTTCTGTGTTCAAAACTCGTACCACAAATAGCGGCTCAGATACTGTCTTCCAGTCATGACGCACAATCAGGAGTCCAAACTTCACACAAAAGGTCATCTTACTTGCATAAAAGAGGAGCTAACCCTCTCCTATGCCTCTCTAGTTTTGAGTACTTTCCTCCATAGTGCCAACAACATCGCTTTCATTATTTATGACATAGCAAGCAATAAACAAGTTTATGCAGATATTCAGGTGGTACATGTAGAGTACACCTAACATGGCGAATAAAAATACAGACAATGATTTTTAACTGTAAAAATGTCGTCTTGATAAAGCTCTAATAATCAAAGACCCATACAACTTCCTTAATGAAACAATGAATTCTGTAACCGGGTCTATGTGAATACATCTTAAATTTGTAAACCAACTGAAAAGCTACAAGATCATAATTGCAAATACAACATGAATGCATGGCAACGTAAGGATATTGCTTATGTAAAAGGACAAATCCATTACGTGTGCAGAAGAGTTTACGCCCTCATCAAAATATTGACTGTCCTCCCCGACAGCAGTCTCAGTTCCATCGTCGTCAGAATCATCAGCACCATCATATGCATAGCTACCTGGTGATCTTGGTGTATGAATTCTACCAAAAGAACCCACCCTCATCTTAGGATTAGATTGATTATCATGGTGATGTTCTCCTGCAAAACAAAAGTGAATACTTTAGTTAGATCATTCTAAGAACAGGCAACACATGCTACTATAGATATCCTGTGGTCCTACATGACTTGGAGGTGATTACGCTAAGTATCAGCTTGTTCCATTTGCAGGATATTTTTCTCATTTTCCCTTACAGTTTGCAGGACTTTGTGATAATTTATTAATCAAAATTTTGCTATATTCCTGGAAGACAACATGAAAATAGAATGGTAAGACAGGTCTCGGCATCCTGCTACAATTTACTGGTACAAACCAACTGCAGCATACAGGTATAAATGTTTCTAATACATCATCAAAAAGGTTCAACTGAAACAGTCTGTATAAGTTAGGCCTTAGTCTTACTGATTCACATTTGTCCAACTTCGTTGCTTTTGATGATTTTAAGTTGTCTTATTCCACACGGCCAAGGGATGAACCATGCTATTCAGATTTCAGGTTTACATTTCAATTCCCTGTTTTTCTTGGATATAAAATTTATTATTAAATAAGATATAACCAAATTAGGTGACATGTTTCTGCCAATGCAAGAATTTGAAAAAAGAGGCTGTCAGCAGACAAATGTATCCAAACTCTCCTTGGACCTCTGGAATCAAATACAAGGATAATAGATCTTGTGAAATTTTATCATACTTCCGTTGGTCTTATCCTCACACAATGTTGTGGTGTTGCTGTTCTGCTTTGAGCCCTCATTTACAAATTGCTATTACCAATCAAAACAGAAACTTCTGAAATGCTTTTTGTAAGGCACGGCCTAATCAACATTCATGGACGTACTAAAGTTCTATGGAAATGTATATCTGAAGGCAACAACTCCAGCAATTTAAGAAGTTCATGAAGCTCCTTGAGCTCTTTCTAAACAATTACTGTTATGGCGTAACCTCGTGGTATTCCTGTTAGACAAGATCAAAAACCCAGCTTGCTGACAAGAAAATCATTTTGTAATAATCCTCACAAACTAAACTCCTATTGAGCCTCCTACCATTCAATATTGGATAAACCCATTGTTAAATATTTGAAACCACAAGTTCTACATTCTAAACTTTATGGCAATGAGAGTAACTAGCAAGCACAACGTAAAACCATATTATAACAATAGCCACTCCATTGATCCCAAATAAATTCTTTGACCATTTGATCAACTACCTTGACATTGGGTGTTTGCTATTATTGGATGATCAGAATCACGGAGGTTGCAGCAAATATCTGAGCGCATGAAGCACTAGCTTACTTTCGGAGAAGAAAGGAGGAATTTGCTATCGAATCCATAATTCTTTTTTCTTCGTCATTTGTTTTCTTAGTTTCATCCTGCATCACTGTGCCACTCAGGTAGAAATCCCTGGAACCTATGGGCTTGCAGCTCAGTTTTTGAAGTTGAAAAATAGCCTTCTAGCGGAGAACAAAACTATAAATTCATTTCTTCATTTTTCCAGCAGAAAAGTGGCCCAAAAGGAGTACTGCTCTTCTTAAAACAATGTCAGATAGTTACGAACTAATTACAGATTAAGTAACACGGATCACTAACGTAGCAGCTTAATAATATAATGAAATCAGAAACAAGAAAACATACCTTGTCTTTGATTCATTCGAAGAGGTGGCAAGTTATCAGAAACTAGTTTCTCCAAAGAACCAAACGACACCGGTTTACCCACTTTTTCACTCATCCATTCATTAGCCAACCCTACATTCGGCAACGAACAGGACATACCATAAGAATGATTATTCATCACATAAGCACCAGCACCATCGTCGTCGTCGTCGTCGTCGAGATAACTTCTATTATCAGCATCAATATCTCCATCTTCATATCCAGAAAACTCTTGGTGTTCGGGGTAGTTACGATCGGGGCGTCGACGGAGCTTGATGAGGCGATCGATGACCTGATCAACACTGCGCTTGTGTATGTAAAAAGCTGAGATGGCCATTACTGAAGCTCCAAATAAAGTTGCTAATGCAAAATGAATCGGAGACAATGGCGATGAAGCTGATGAATCCATTTTGGTAAAGCTTTGAATGTGTAGCAGGGTTTTGATCGAGGGTTTTATTTTATCAGCAGGGAGGAGAGATGAACTGATGAAGGGACGAAGATAGTTTGCTCACGTGTCTTCATGTATGGGCCATTGGGCCTACATATAGAAATATGGACGACTTCTTTCTGGCCCAAATGCGACCCCATCATAAATTCTTCAAAAAATAATTGCAAAAAGAGTGTTTAAAAAGTGGATACAAATAGTGCCCAGGACCGGCAAAGGTCCGGCTCATATAACCGGTTATGGCACCGAAAATTGGGATCAGCTGGGATTTTTGGCAGTTTTATGGATAGGATATTTTCATAGAATACACATCAATTAACAAATATATAATTAAAGGAAAGCTTTTGTACAAACCGGTTATACTTAATTGTGTAAGTTGTTATTTTTTATGTTTTTAAAAGTTAATTATGACTCGATTAAACGATTTTGTTTGTTTTCTAAGGATTTTTGGACCTTGCGTTGTTTGATAACTTGATTAAAATTCATAAACCTTGAAAATATAAATGTGACGTTTATTTTTTAAGAGGTACTAAAGTATTATTTCACTTCTGATTTATGAGAGGTTGTGTTGAAGTTTGAAAATAAAAAATAAAAAAAATATTATTAACCATATAAAATAAAATAAAAATCTTTATATAATTTAAGATTTTTTAATTTTTTTAAAATTATAAAGCAAGGAGTATTTTGGTTATCCCGAGGTTAATGGAAAATCTTTATTTTGAAGAACTAGTTGCGTATCTGTGTAATGCGGCGGGATGCGTGAATTTTAACGATTTTGAAGTTTCACTGGTTTTATTATAAAAGATTTAACGATGATATAAGTTACACTTGGTCTTTACATATTAATACAATTTGAATAAATAAGAGTTATGATTCCAATTACAGTCTATCGATGAAAAAATTGTATGACAGCTTAAAATCCAACATATTTAAACGATTCCACAAATATGTTCGATTTACACCAAGAGTAAAGAATCAAGAGATCAAGAGTTCTAGAGAAATTGAATGAGAGAACTTTTAATAACTATGAGGAATATCAGTTTGAATCTCACAGTGGGGGATGAGGAAAGACATAGAGGTATGAGAGGGTGAAGACATGAGTGAAATGTGTCAAAAATATTTTGGAAACATGAAAAGAAAAGATAATATGCATTGGTAACTTGTACTATGCGTTATTTTAATTGTAAATTAAGAGACTTTAAGATTGAATACATAAAGTAGTAGTACTTAATTAATGCATTATGAGCTGTTTTTAAGACTTTGTACTTTGTGCATTAAAAATTGTTTTTAAGACTTTTGATAAATCTGATTTATAATTTTGAAGAATGAGTGTTGGTATAAAAAGGTAAAATATTACTAGTCGGCTAAATGACTACATTCAATTCGAAAACAAACCTACTTATATGAAATATTTGTATATATCAACAAAGATGAAACACATACGATGTGATATTGTGAGAGTTAAGTATTTTAAAGTCTTGATGTGTGGTTTGATTTTGGTTAACCCCATATTAATGAGACATCTTTAGTTTGAAAAATGTACGTAGATATGTGAAAATATGATGTTTTCCTTTTAAAATGATAAGATTAATAACTACATTTTGCAAAACAAACAAATTTATATGAATCTTTGCAACTTTATCTTTATCGATCAATCTTTATATATTTAAAAGGAAAACCAAGGATGATGATGACTTGACAACTTGACGTTTGAGTAATCCTCAAATCTAGTATCAAAATTCTAAAAACTCTAAAAAAATTATATCAGACTCTAACAACTATCTATTTTGGCCAATTTCACTATTGACTATATTATTAAAATATTCAATATATTAAATAAAATATTATTTCTCTCTGCTAAACATGTAATTGCAATGTTAAAAAGGTTTAACTTTTTCAAAAAAAATTTATTACCAGTTTGACATCGGTATAAGTTATTTATCTACATACTCAAAAATACTTGTTACCAATAACACACTAAAATAAATCAATAAATTATTTTTATAAGTAATCCCAAACATCAAAATTCCTCAAAATCTCTGTTTCGAACAATTTACCCGAGATGCTATTTCATATTTTAGAACTACTTTGAACCCGACTCACACACCCAGTTCACTCCGAAGCCCTTATCCGACACACCCGCAGATTAAGCGGTTCGATTTGGGTATCCAAACCCTTTCACCTTAAGTTTGGCCTGGGCCGCTGTGCTATTCGCTTCTTCCTCAATCACCAGTTCCTCTCAATTGAGTCGATCAATCGTCGTCTCCAGTCTCCACTTCGGCACTGCTGCACTTCCCAGTCCGACGGTCGACGGTGAGTCTCCTACAGTCCCGCACTCCCTCTGTGAGTCGCCATTCCTCCGTGAGTATCCTACAGTCCTACCCTCCTTTCTTTTAGTTGCTTTTCTGATTGGTCAACACTTTGTCACTTTCCGTGTTTTTGGTTTTCTCACTTCTCTGATCACTGATTTACTGCTTAGGTTTAGCTATAAAGTTAAGTTATAATGTTAGAGAATATAGACAATCTCTGTTGTTTTGCTTTTCTGATTGGTCACTTTCTGTTATTTTGGTTTTCTCACTTTTTTGATTACTGATTAGGTTTTAGTTAGTAGTTATAGAGATAAGTTATAATGTTATAGTCAATCTCTGTTGTTTTGATTTTCTGTTGTTGACATTAAGGGTGCGTTTGGTTTGCGGGATTGGAATGGAATTGGGGGGATTTGGATTTGAAATCCATTCCAATCCAGTGTTTGGTTTGCTGGATTGTGAGAAATTGAAATCCA